TGTATCAGATTGATTGTTTGCATCTTTCAAAGCAAAACCGAGACTAATATAATTGTCTCTGATGAGAAAACACAAATCCAATATATATTCTTGTTTTTTGCTCCGGCAATAGTTTTCATCTTCATTAAATGTTAACTATTGGATTGTTCTGCATTTTGATATGATATACGGATCTAGCAAACGCCATTCAAAATGGGTGTGGGGTGTGGGTGTGTGGGCGTGGATGCTGTGAATATCCTTTCTTCTAAACCCACACTCACACCCACACTCCACACCGACACCCACATCCACCCACACCTACACCCACTCTACACCCACCCACATCCACACCTACACCAACTCACACCCACACTCAGTAGCCGACATGGGTCATAGTGTTTAATTTCAGGGCACATGTATGGGGTTAATGAACAGTTGTTATTCGACCGACATAATTATAATTGGCAGACGAAAGGATCCAATAGACGTATATCAACGCTTCTCGCCTTATCGTTTATGACACGTGTCATGGTATCTCATATATATAGAACTAAAGGATAAAAAGAGAGCACATATTCTTGCTTACTGTTTTCTTGTTTTTTTCTACAATAATGACAGACAAAAAAACTGAAGAGTCAATGCTTCTCGATGATTTTCATCTAAGTGCAGATGACCTGAGTGATGAAGTTAAACAACGATTTCCTTTTTACATCGACATTCAAAACAGTCTCGACTTCTTTGGTCACACTGTTCTCAAAAATGAAAGCATCACCGCTGGTGGACGACACATTCTATGCACTCGGATTATTCAAAATTATACAACTGTGAAAAGTATACTGAACTATCTGGCTACGGTACCATCACAAACAAAAGAAAAAGTCAATCATGTACCAATGGTCGTCATATGTGGTCTACCTCGTACTGGTACGACACTGTTGTATAACTTGATGGCTTGTGATCCAGCCTGTCGAGCTCCTCTTCTAAGTGACATGTCAGTGAGTCCGATTCCGCCTATCCCACGCTCAGATATGAAAGAACACAAACGACGAATGACAAAAGAAGGAATTCTTATGATGCAAGTGTTTCAAACAGCTCGATGTGACTTTCAACAGTATTCGAAAGTTCTATGCTCAGTACATCCGTTACTTCCTTTAGAAGAGGATGTAGCACTATTAGGCAGTGCAGATGTCAAGATTGTTCTTTGTAATCTTGTTTCGAAACAAGAAAATTTGGTTACACATTTTACAGACAAGCAAAACAGTAATTACACGTATGATTATCATCAAACTGTGCTACAAATGTTACATGATATGGATCCACCTCGCATACATTGGTTATTGAAAAGTCCAGTGCACACATTTTGGCTGAATACTTTAATGAAATATTATCCGCAAGCATCACTGATTATGTCGCATCGTCGTCTCAATGAAATATTACCATCATCTTGTCGTATCGCTCTTGCTTTGAGTAATATTCATTTCAAAGAAGACGACTTAGCCAGTATGAAAACAGTTATCGAACAAGCTAGTGCTATTATCGATATCTGGATAGAGCGTCTGATCGAGTTTCGACTTCAACAACCGCCTCCAGAAAACGTTTTTGATATTCAATATGAAGGTCTATTGAGAGATCCTATCGGTACTGTACATCGTATTTACGATCACTTTCATTTTCTACAATGGTCTGACGAGTTTGAAAAATCAATGCGCACATGGCTGGTCAACAATCCTCAACAAAAGCAAGTTCAGAGCTCGTATTCTCTCGATCAGCTTGGCTTAAACGAGAACACTAACCAAGAACTATACGTGAAATATGAGAAAATGTTTCTGTCATAGTGATTCGATGATTTTTCAATTTATTCAAATAATAAAATAAAATTAATCGAAGTTTTTATTAATTGTTTCAAATGAAAGTTCGTGTCGAGAAACCTCTAAATCAGCTCATTTGAACATCCTCGTAAAAAATGGTGAAAGATTTACCTTGTTAAAATTTTATTGCATAATAAAGAGAGGAAAAAGATTCTCAGAAGATTTTCTATTGATATAAATAGAAAATTTTCTGAGAATTTTTTTCCATATATTATATCACAAGATTAAACAACAAAACTCGATTGTCTGAACTACGTCGGTAGAGCCCTGCAGGGTGCACATAGCCTGCCCTACCTTGACAGGGCAGGGCAGGGCCAGGTTACGAAATTTTTACAGGGCAGGTTACAGGGCACCATTATCATAACCTGTTAACCTGCTATTAATTTATCGAATCAAATATTACAGACATCTTTTGAAAAGTTTTACATGAAGAAGAATATTGGAGTATAAAGCAACATAAAGTTAAAGGACTGATAACTGAATCCGATTGGTCGTAATAGTATTCAACAATGGCATATGTCGCTAGTGTATTCTATACATATAGACCTATTCAGTTGTACATATAATTTTCTAATATGAAGATTTAAATAATTGTTTTCGTTTTAACTATCATCATTGATATCTAAAGTCATTACAAATTATTATCTTGGTTGCCGTGTTTCTAAAATATATTTTATGTCGAATCCAAAGAAAAATATTGAATAGAACAAGAGAAGACTCAATAGTTTTTAAACACACATACAAAAAAAATTCTTATATGGTCTTTTTATTTTCCTAAATCAATCTCGTTAGTTTACTATGAAAACAAAAAAAACAATATTTTTAGTGCATAGCACCAGTAATGTTAAGTAACATTTGAGGGCCATGTGGTAAATAGACGATATTTCTTGATTTTGATAATTGATTTGCAATACCTTCAGCGGCTTCAATTTGTCGTAGTTCGATCAAACCTAACATGAATATTAAAACAAAGTAAGACAGGCTAATAAAAGGTATCCGAAAATTTACCATCACCAACTTCATCTAAAGCTTTGCCAATCAAATCAGCTGCACGAGCATCACCTTCTGCTGCAATAACATTTGCTTGACGACTTTGTTCAGTCTGTTCTTTTTTATCAAAAAAAACAAACTCATACAAATTTTATTCTTATTGATTTACTTTTTCGACTAAAAATCGTTGTTTTAATTCAACAGCACTTGTAAATTCAGGTCTAAAACTTAAATGTGTCTAATGTAAAGAAAAAAAAATATAATCAACTCGAGACTCTTTTTTGTTGTATCCTACAATTGAAATATCAACAAGTAATAAACCAAATTAAGCAGCATGTTCTGTTAATAATTCACTAACACGTTGAGAAATAAGTGTGCGTTGTGTAATCAATTCAATAGCATCAAATTGAGACTTAGTACAACAGACTTTAAAACTTCATTAATAATCGATGATAAAACACGTTCTTCACAATCTAAACCCAAATTTGCAAAAAATTTTTGGTAAAATTTCAGCTCTTGGTCGATAAAGAATACGTAATGTTATATTAATTGTTTGTAAATCTAAAATAAAAATAATAAAATGTAATTTATGCATATTTCATTTATACGAAGAGAAAATAATGGAGACTTCCAGCTTTAAGTTTTATGAAGTATCCTAAGATTGGTGAATGATGAAAGTATATAGGTGTAAACCGATCAGTTAAGTCGCCATCGATAGCCACCAAATTTTTTAAGATACCTCAGCCATATACATTCATTGATGTTTCAATAGACATCGTATTTACCTTCTTTTTTTTGCGAGCTTACATTTTTCTCATGTTCACCTCTCTCTTGAAGTTGACTGTTTTCTTCTAGCTTTTATACCTTTTATTTCTGTTATTGATGGAAGAGATCGTGGTCGTGTACGGATATCAAATATAATTGGTCTATGAAGCCATGAAATCATAAAATGAGTTCCTTCTTCAATAACATCTAGTTTAACACCTTGAAAACGGTCAAAAATAACATCTCGATGACCACCATCAACTAGAATATATTTATATTTAAAAAAAACAAGTTTTTTTTTTAATCTTTTCATATTTACCATTATAAAGCATAGAATTAATCACACCACTACCAATACCTAAACCAATACCAATTCTTCCTAAAACACTAAATTCTTCTATCGAAATAAAATATTATCTCAATATCTTACCAATATTATTAAATAAACGAGATGAAGCCATTGTCTTTTTTTTTTCTTCTAAAAGAAAAACATGCATAATCATAATCAAATTAAATTTGTTTAGTTGTCTTGTTTTTATTAGCAAATAGTTCCAGAAACAAAACGAAACCATATGAAAATTCTTCATATCTCTATTGATAGAAAAAGAAAATGTATCACTATTTAATCTATCTATCTACTACAATAACAAACCAATGTAATATATACATAGAAAAAGACTAAATAACAATAAACTTTGAAAGCAAAAAAAAATCCATGCATACTTTTAAATAAATCGAAATCCACTTGAAAAAATATGAGCACCGTTCAGATATTGTTCATCGATTCGATTGTCGAGCTTGACCACAATTATTACGGGTCAGAAAATGTTCACCATTGGGTTTTAATGAATTTAATGTATCACTGTTCTTTGCTACTGTAGCAGCAATTGCTTCGGGTGCTGGAACAGTCTATAAAGAAATTATTTATATCATAGAAAAAAAAAAGTTTTTCAATTACTATAATTTGATTTTGTTGGAAAAAATTGTTGTGGAAATGATGCATCATCAACACGAAAATCTCCAAGATTTTTATAGTTTTTTAAAATCTCTTCAAGTTTTGGATTGATTTTTGTCGAGAATATTTTTAAAATGCCCAGAATTTTTCTAAACCATATAATTGACCTGAATAGAAAAATTATTTTTGTTATTGACACGTTTCTTTTTTTTTTGTGTGTAATCTATTTTATTACCAGCTTCATGATCACAAAGAGTTTCTTGTTGAAAATCTTCAAATACATGTTGATGAAAATGTTTTTCTAGATCATATGTATAAAATCGAAATAGACACTCAACACCATATCTATACATAAATAGTAATATTCAATTTTTTTGCTTATTATTTTTCATAAAAACAATTCATTTATATGCCGATGATCAGTTTTAGTATCTTCAACAGCATATTGTTTAAATTCATTGTACATATGACGATTAAAATTTTCACATAAGAAAAATGACTAAAAACGATAGAGTGTATTCATTTCCATTGATTGACCAGGAACAAGTTTAACGCGTTCTAAAAATTAGATCATTACAGAAAACAAAATGTATTTTATTTGTAAATCAACATAACTTTAGATTATAAATATTTTCTATGAAATAATAAAGTTTGGCGATTAGTGAAACTTAGTGTTTTTAATCATTGACGATTATTTTATTGCTTTTCAAATTTATCATGTAGATAAGAATGATAGTATTTATTAAAAAAACTCCATAAAAGAGTAAAATCTTTGTTTTTTTTGAAAATTATAGCAACAGACATATTCTCTATTAGCTATTTAAATCAGAATATAAGTATTTTTAGACTCTGATTTTTACTGGAGAGTAGTTTTCACTGTTGTTTTTAGATACGTTGACTGTTCTTTATTCATTAAGAGATTCGTTTTCTTTACGTTCAATGTGGCATAATTTCATTTTTTTTTTACCAGTAGCTTGTTTCTCTTGAAATATTGTAAATATGTACTGAATTAATAATCTTTTTTTTTCTCTACAATCAACGTTTCTTTTTTACCATCAAGACATTGTTGTTTATACTTAAGATAAACTTGTTGAGTAAAACCATTTTGTTGTAAAAGTGTATGAGATGGATGTTGAACAATAAAAATCATATGAATTTGAATTATTTCCATGCCAATAATGTGAATCATTGTATGATGATGAATATTGATCATAGAGATCTTGTTGTCGAGTTCTAAATAAGTAAAACTCATTTTATACTAATAATAATTGACATTCAATTGTTTGTATTAGGAACAAAAAATATAAGAAAATTCGTCAAAAAAAAAATAAAGCAACACAAGTTATGTTTTACTATATCCATTTACCTTACCCATATTGAACAATAAGTAAAATGATCTTATTAACTGTAATAAGTAAAGTGAAAGCAAAACGTTTAGAAACGCAGTATTTTTGGCTTCTTTTCTTAACGATAATAACTACTATTCATTTCAAAATAAGGTGTGCTCCGTTGTTTATTAAATAACTTGTGATAGGAATATTACAGAGACCTGCAGTTTTCACCATTCAAGGGAGAAGGTCCGAAGCCACCGAAATACATCAAAATTTCATTGGCTAATTGGATAAGTTCTTGGCGAGAATTTTGGTAGGTTCCGGATCTTCTCTCTTGTGTGGTGAAAGCCGAAGATCTCTATGATGTTCCTATCAAAAGTTATTCAAAAAAAACCAATGGGGCACATTATATTTTGAAATGAGAAGTAGAACAAATCAACGAATCATTAAAACATTTTTTTTTAAATTGGCATCAGCTGTTTCTAATTTTCGTTGAGCTTTTTCATAATTATCTCTTAGTTCAGTCATCGCTCGACGAATAGTTGACTTATATTAGAAATAAATCAATAAATAAATAAATACTTGTTTATCTCTAACTAGTTCAATAATTTTTTAAAATTGTTCCAGTCATTCTTTTTTTTTTGAATCAATAAAATCATGTATTTGAATCAAATCATCCATTGTTTGATTTAAAATCGTCAAAGCACCATTTGTTCTATATGGAGAACGATAACAACGTGCAACATCACTCAAACGAAATTCTTTCAATGATTTTGATACATCCTTATCAATACTTTTATTTAACTAAACATTTATTATATTTTTTTAATTTAATTATTTAACTTACAAAATCTTTATCTATTTTCCGAAGATCAGACAATACTTTATAAGAATCTCGAGTATAACGAACTCAATTGTAACAATCAGGTACATCATCACTTCTATATTAATAAATATAAAGAAACAAAATATTTTCATTTTTTAATTTCGAATTCCCTTGTTTAATCATATCGATAAAAATCCTATTCAAATGAATTTATTTTCAAAACATTTATATAAGGATCGATTAAATTTATTTCCTTAGAAATTTTTAATCGATAATTCGAACTATTTTATCATTATTTCGTTTTATAGAACGTTTCTATATAGCAGTTAAAAACAGATTTTCGACAAAACACGTTCAAATCGGATGAAATATTAATCATTTGTTAGCGATCGTTTAGTAGAGAGAAATAAATTGTGTCAAAATTGTTCAGATCAATATAATGTTTCTAGGATAGATTATTAAAATAATAAATAATTTTCGTTGTCAATCTTTATATATAATAAGATAATCAATATAGATTCATCTAGAAATCGATTTATATAATAAATAACGCATTTTTGACCAGATGTAAGGAGATAGTTAACCATTTAAATTAGCTTTGAAAAAATAACAATAAAGATTTAATATGAAAGTTCGATTTTTTT